GCAATGGACCGCCCTTTGAAATTGGCTCAGCAGCTTGATTCTCCCCAGCGTTTTTGGTAAAGTTTTGAAGTAGCTGAAAGTTCCTTGAGGCCCTCTTTTGTGGTGGATGGCAGATGCTTTGACAACGTAGGCTCTGCATTTAAAAGTGTAAAATTGACGGTTGGTAGCGCTAATAAAGGTCATAAGATACCGTGATAAGTGCTTTTATTTCTTGGGGTTGCCAGTCATGTCTATTATCCGCTTTGAAATACAAACAAATAGCTGGTTATCGGTGGTCGATATTTTGATCGGTCGATATTATCAATCTCAACACATGGACTTTAGCAAGCATAACAGTCACTTTCACGCCCAGATTCACAGCAATCGTGCGCTAAACTTATGTGTCCGAAGGTTTTTTTTGCTAAATTTGGATACACCATAACCAATGAAGCGTCCAACCCTTTTGTTTCGCTGGATCTGGAATTGCATTCGCATCTGCCGTTCCGTTGTTTGAGGAGACATTAAAAATTGGGCACATTCAATCGTCTCTTTTGACTATCGCTATTTGTCGACTCATCTACACTAATGCAGGGTTGCAGGATCATTTTATCATGGAAGGCCCCAAAGCGATGAAGAAAGAGATCAGCATTTCACAATTCAATGTGAAGGCCAAATTTAAATTTCAGATTTAAAAAGAGGGGCCACTGGGTATGTCACCCAGATTTGCGGATCGGGCCTTTTCGCCATCGACACTTTGATCGCTATTTTTAGACTTCTTTTCACGCGGAAGCTAAAATCGTCACTTTTAGATGCTATTTTTGAGGCTGGACAAACATTTTTAATCCAGTTTTGAAAAGTAGATCTCTCTAACTTGCGTTGACACCTTCTCTAAATTAGGGTGACAAACTTCCTTATCAAAAAGAATGGAGCCACTTTTGATCGAAAATTAGCAGCGAAAAACAATGGATTTGCATTTTTGATAAATCTGCACAACGGTACCAAAATTCTGGACTCCGCATGAAGCCGTTCCACATTTAGCCACATTACAAGCAAAATTTGAAAATCTTCCTTTATAAACAAGTTGTGCATTTGTTGGCTTTTCAGTAGATGCAAGATTTTAAAAATTCAGAATGGGCACATTTGAGGACGCAAGAAGCCATACGAAATCAACGAGCAGTTTGACGAACTACATGATAGGCAGGGCAGTAATAAATTTAAACTTTCGCTTTTTATTGTTTGGATAGGCAATGGATTTGCTTTTGGAAGATGATATCCTAAAAAGTATTTATGACCATCTTAAGAATGGGGCGAAACCTTCCGATTTACTGGAAAACCTTACGCACATGTGGATCAATTTTCCTTCTTTGCTCAATGAGTTTGGGGGTCTTTTGCATGATCATGCAAGCGGTGTCGAACCAATAGAAAATTCGGAGTCATCCTTAAATCTCACCAATATTTTTACACTGGAAGAAGAACACAGAGGGGAAGCCGTTGCTGTAGAAAGCCCTTACCCTTTGTCATTTTCCCATGAATTTTTTCTGTCCGCATTTTCGCAGCAAATCAGCTCAAGGTGTACAAACGCTAGCATCAACGATGAAAAGCTGCACATCGACACCTTTTTCCTGCAAAACGGACCTTCCAGTGGATTCAGTGAAGCCTTTTTTAATGATGGGCCCATAATTGCACGCATGCTTTCTAAAGTCACCTCCAAGTTAGACCAGCAGCCTTTTTTATATATCGACATGCTTACGGAATCAGTAATCGAGAATGCTAAATGCTCCCAAAAGCTCCAACATGAAAGCCCCGAATGCTCTCCAAAATTAACAAATGGAATTTCGGAATGTCTTTCTGACGCTCCCTATGGATGCGAACACTTTCTACAAATGCTCCTTGCGTGTGTGAAGGATGGGTTTACATTTGAGGCGCATTGGGCAGAGACTTTGCTAGCACTGCTGGGGCGGCCAATCAAGCTGGAGCGGTTTATTTTGATGCTAGTGCTAGTGTTTCATCAAGATGCACATTTAAAAGTCGGCGGTGCTTTGCTGCATTCATTATTGTCGCTTGTTGCATCTATGGACGCAGAATTGCTTCGGATTTACCTTCGCTTTCGGCTGCCTACTTCTGCACGTCTATTGGATGGCATAATGAGCCTTCTCACAATGTCTCCCTTTTCGAAAGAAGCCCTTTTACAACCCGGGTCGGCCGCAAAGGACCAATTGGCCGTAAATAGCGCCTTTTCTTTGCACACTTTGACGCGGCCTTCAGAGTGGCTTGTGGATTCAATTTTCTGGCTCATACTCTGCAACGATCGGCACAGTTTTGAGAAAGGCTTATCATTACCACTTGGAATCTCCCTGGGCCATTGTTGCCACTATGCTTCATGGATTCTGAGCCCAGGTGACAGGCTAATGGAGTTTCCAACCCTATCACGGGATCTTCTTTATAAGGTGTGGAGTACACCTATTCTTCCATTCTTTGTAATCGAGCTTTTGCGGTCTAGTTGGCCGAACAACGGGCCAACTTCCACCGATACAATAGGGGTGCGCTACGAATTCCTCAGCGTGCTCATGGACTATTTCCCTTCAATGGAGACGCCGATTCCTAAAAAAAGTCTCCTGAACTCCAAACGTTCAAAAGATTCTTCGCTCTCCTCACTTCCGATTGAAATATTGGAACAGCTTCTGATGTCCATCCCTATTGCCACCGATATGGAACTCATCGTGCTCTTTTGCTGGCTCAACCATAGGATTGGACATCCGCTTATTTCATCCGTCACTTCCGAGCTTGTCCTTCTTGAGGGTAAAATTGGTGTATTTATTGTAGAATTAGCTATATGCCATGGACCTGCTGTTGCCCTTCCTGTTCTTCTGTTCCTCTTTATCCACTTGGAACGTTTTTTTAACGGCAATATCTCGAGAGGCCATCAGGGGGCTGTCTATGAAGCCTCACTGCATACTCAAAGTGACCAGCCGTTTGTACATGTACCAAATAGTAGGTCTCTTTCATCTGCACTCACTTTGCAGCTTGAGAGGGAATTGTTTTCCTCATTGATCTTTGTTGACTATCTCGTGGGCACGATTGATGAGCTCAAGTGTCAAACGTATCCCAGAATCACAAAGCTTCTCCGAGCATCATGCTGTGGTCTTTCTCATGTTGAACAGTCCGAGATGATCCGCCAAATCTACAGCGGCTATGAGCTCACAAAAGCCCCGTTAGTACAAGGTGAACGGCCATGTGGGGGTGACCAAATCAGTGCACATGCCGTTGACTCAGAGCCCCAATTGACTTGGCTTGCCTCTGCATTGCTTTTTCATGCTTAGAAAACGACACTATTGCACTTTCAGCTATGTCTACACACAGCTGAGCGATCCAAAGACCAACAGCCAATGATCGCGATGTGTTCAAACACCAATCTAGCGCCAACCGCTTGTTTGATGAGGTCGATGCGTTCAAATCGATTGGAAAGCGATTTATTTTATATTTGCTACTGCTCTTCTTCTGTGTGGAATGGGTTGTGATCCGGGTCTCCAAACCGTTCGGCGCACGCTGCCGGTGTTGCAGAGCAGCAGTCCAAATACGCCTTAATTAGCTGGTGACAGTCGATGCCTTTTACTTGGTTATGTGATTGTTTTACGCAACTTATGGCATCTTTTAACATGGGACCACATTCTGTCTTCAAATAGCGAGACAGCTCTGTTTTCTCCCGTTCTGTGGGCGACCCAAAACTGATCGTAGGCGAAGACATGGCGAATTGCTCTCTAAAATTAAATTAAAATTTAGCATAAAATGGGTGGACCTTTTTACAATCCCAGATACTTGTCACCACAGCTAGCGTGCATGTCATTCGTAGAATCGGTCTCTGTGTTTACAGGCCATTGTGGGTATTGCGGTGGGAATGGATCTATCGCAATCTATTCGGAACTCAAAACACCTCTTGCTGCATTGCTGTACCAAGAGCTAATGGAGCAGGGCTGGCGAAGGTAAGGTTTGTTGATGCTATTTGCAGATCTGGCTCCAAACTGCTCTATTTGCCCCTCAATGATATCACATGCTGCCCACTTAAACCGATCAGGTTACGTGTTTCGGCGTTCACTCCTTCTCGTTCTCAGAGGAAGGCGTATCGCCGCATAGCTACACGTTTCCGTCTTTTGACAACCTATTCTCAAGGAGACATCACAAAAGACCTGGAGGCATACCCAGAAGCAATTAAAGACATGTATAAAGTTGAGAATTTCAAAGAAACCAAGGAGATGGGGGTTCTTCCGGCCTTTACAGTCAGGCTGCTTGAGCCCTCTGAACTGCTTGCTGAATTCGAGCTTGCTTCACTTTTTACGCTTTTTCTGAAGTATCAGCAAGCGGTACATGAAGATGCTGCTACTTGGACTGTCGATTCGTTCAAAAGCTTTATTATTGATGGCGCTCTTGAGGTATGGGCATTGTGATCCGCTATCAGTTTGTTTTCTGTTTTTCCATCTTTTCCGGTGTCTTTTTGACATTTCCAGCTGCAATTTGTTGTAATTTTTGTATTCATTTGTAGGAGGGATCGACTCGATTCTTGGTCTTTGTGATCGGCACACGGCTGGTAGCAATGTCAACTGTAGATGTGCTACCAGACTATATTTCGTCATGTTATTTTTTTTATGACCCGGAATATGCTAACCTTTCCCTTGGAACCTTTTCCATTCTGACCGAAATTGAGCTTGCCCGCATAATGAGACGTTCCTACTACATTCTCGGTATGGCTTTCATGCCCAATTTTAGGATTTTACTCGCCAAAATGTCCCAAGCTGCTATATAAGGCCGCATATGCTCCTGCTGAAATAGGTATTCCGCAACTGGGAGGCGGAAAATTTTGCTGGCAGCCCTTAGAGTAACTCTAAATTGGGCTGCTCGCTTGGATTGGCACGTGTTAGTGTTTATCTTTCGTTCAATTTGTTATCAGCCCTTGGCTTTCGTTCAATTTGTTATCAGCCCTTGGCTTTCGTTCAATTTGTTATCAGCCCTTTATTTGCTTTTGATTGCTATTCTGCCATTCTAGGATCGATGACAAGGCCAATACTTGCAAGAGCATCGATAATCCACTCGGGCACAATCGCTTCTTTATCGGCGAGCTGCTCCTCATTTTCGATGAAGCGTCGACGCAGAAATGATTTGATGTATGCGGGGAATTTGTCTGCTATTATGGCATCGCGCATAGCCCGTGAAAATCGCAACATGTATGCAATGTTGTGCATTGAAAGCAGGTGGCAGCCTGTCGTCTCTTTCCCGACGATCCCATGTAGGGCTGCTCTGGTATAGTTTCGGCAAGTGAGGCATGTGCATTCCGAATCGATGGGTCGCAAATCCTGGGCATACATTGCCTTTTTAAGCGAGATATCTCCGCAAGGGTGCAGAGCATGGCCAAACCTTGCTGTACGTGTTGGAAAGACGCAGTCAAACATATCAACACCAAGTGCCACGCAAATCAGCAAATCGAGATCATATCCAATACCCATGCAATATATCGGAATGCACATGC